CCCTTCAACTACTTATCCTATGTTAATTTCGTAGAGAAGACATGAACCAGACCCTTTGGAAAAATAACACCTAAAAGTATGAATTGGATAGGGAAGAGAGCAGCTGGACCATTACAAATATCTAGAAGATAAGGCTAGAACTGCTCTCTTTCCCCATCTGGAAACAGATTTCCTTCCCACTCTTGCCCACCCCAATAAGTGTGAGATCATATGGTACATTCTTCGATCATCTCCTCATAGTGCAGAAATCGACAGGCACCATGAGGAACCCAAGAAATATTAAAGGAAATTCCATTTGTGGAACACTGACGGTTGGTCTTGGGCAGCCACTATAGTTTAAAGTGCCTCCAGCATCCCTCAGACTGCTTGGAGACTTCAACGTATGAAGCAAAATATTTATACTGTAAAAGCCAGTGGCTTCAAGGTTCCCAAGCCATGAACTACTGCCTTATTTGTCTTACTTCGGCTGCTTCCCAAGAAAAGATAGCAGAGGACCCACAGAAGACCTACTTAAAGGCCTTGTGGTATGGGGGCAGGGGAGAGAGATGCCTTTTCTAAAACAGCTCATTCCATCCTTGTCAATTGAAAGAATATCAAAATATGAAAATCAAACTATTATTAAAAGCCGAGCTTTCCTGAAAGACCCATATTGCATCAGAAGGACCAATATAATAACATGACAGAAAAGCACTCAAGCGTCTGCCTTAATCCACCCATGCAACTACAACATATATGCTCATATTGCAATTATTATTGAAACATAATTCATTAAACCATTATAGATTTTTTTACAAAATGCTACATTAGGAGTGCTGCCCTGTATGCATCTTTCTCTCTTTGACACACACCCGCAGATGCATTAATATCAATGCAGCTGATGCACTGGTAACAGGATTTGGCTTCTTGTCAAACTCTGGAAGGCTATGAAAGCCTCAGAATATACAAATCCATGATCGAGTTACAAATACTTCCCCTTGGCCTCAAATGCAAGCCGAAGAGCACTTAGTGTTAAATTCCCAGTAAACAATACCACCCACCTGAGATTCCCAAAGGGTCAGAAAAAGATTTTAGAAGATGAACAAGGGAAAAATATACCCGTTAACCACATCCTCCCTTAATGATCTGGAGATAATTCTGTTAGCTGTGGCCCATTCCCCCATTCCACTGTATGGATATTCCAAAATATTATCAGAGCAGAGAAAACATAACCAAACACAGCCAAGGAATACAATCCTGCAAAAATAATATTCCCTACTCCTTTGTCCCCCTCATATAGCAGCTGCATGATACTATATGGGTGTTATCTAACAGCTGAGTTTTTTTGGCATTATCAAATCAGGTCTGTAGCATCACTGCTGATATTGAATTAAGTGTGGGGTGAATCGCTTTAGACAGCCAGTCTTAGAGCTGACAGAACATAATTCAAAAGTTCAGATATTTTACTGAAAGAAATAGTGGCCTTAAGAGGAGATTGTAAAAGCAGGTAGTTGTTGAAGCATCCAAGATTAGAAGTTATCACCAGCAGTAACCAGAAAAGTATCTTCCTCTTCGCATCTTAGTCCCATTCCTCGGCATTCTCATCTCTACTCTTCAACATACCAATATCAACTGGTGCTTTATACTGCAACTAAAAAGACAGAATGCCCATGTGGGCATTTCATGTCCTTCCACATTTGACATGATTAAACAAAGTTTGAATCAAATAAATCAAATGCTACTGTTTCGCTGAGCAAATTAAAAATGCAACTGAGCAAGTCTGCATCATTTGGAATCACTTAGCAAGCTAATTATATTCCCTACAAAGTGGTCATGGCTATCTTAACATTCCCATCCCTGTGTCTCTGGATTTATATTCAGGTGCTGAAATAGGGTAAAATTCTCTTCAAATAGAGTAAAATTCTCTTCACAACAATGCACATAATACAGCTTACCAAGTGGTTATATAGATAACATGAAAGTTAAACACCTAGTAAACGGGCATCTGTATTACCCACAGAATTCAAAATATTTTTCAAACTTGTTCCATACAGCATAGGAAAGTTGAACAAAGCTTGCCTGGCTACAGGACTACATTTTTTCATAATAAAATAATACCTGCTTCCTCTAAGAATGTCACAGAAAGAACATTATTCAAGTCATGATTGATGCTGTAAGAGCAACAAAAAAAGGTCATGTCCTCTACAGGGGGGAGACTAAAAAAGGAAAGCAGGAAATGCATTAGCCATCTTAATCATATTTTAGTAACTTTTTTCCAAAGCAAAGAGAAAAGGTAGAGAACTACCATATTTACTCCAATGCATTGGTGTTAACTGCCAAATGCTCTTCCAAGAACCTGGACAAGCCCAGATATTTAACTTACAAAAGAAGGTAAATGGAAGCAAACGTATTTCTGCTTGCAAACCTTTGACAACCTTTACTGCCTCACCAAGGCAGTAAAAATCAAACAATTTGTCAAAGAGAAGAAAAACCTCCTGATTCTCCTCTCTGCTATCGCTGCCTGAATTCACAATCATCACAGTTTTGTCTTGTCCTGGGCTGCTTCTTGGCCATTTTACCAAAGATCTCCCAACCAACAAGAACAAGTTCTAAGAGAAAGCACAGATAAGTTTGGAAATATGCTTCTCCCCTACCCAGTAAGGTGTTATGACTAGGACTGGTTATTTGGCTTCTGGGCTTGGTTGATGGGTTCATGAAAACAAAACAACTAAACTGGTTACACAGTTTACCACAAGACCTACTTCTCTTAATCAACCACTTCAATTCTTTTAGATTTTATGTACAGTACAGCCTGGTCTTTCTATGTCTCATTTACCCAACCAGACAACACAAACACTTACATTCTACCATAAGCCACACAGTGTAATTCCCATTTCTTAAACCTTCCATTGTCCAACTTGCCCAGTCAATATTCAGTATATACATCACTGGGTCCAATAGAAAGAGTACCTCCCCTCAAATCAATACCCTAAACTCCTGCCAAATAAATGTCAGTAAAGCCTCTTTGACAGAAAATTGCTCAGAAAATGACTTCATGTGCACTTAAAATATAAGGGGGAAAGGCTCCAAGTAATTATTCCGAGTCAAAATGCAGCAATAGGACAGGGAAAACTTCCCTTGAATATAGGGTATGTAGTCAGTAACTCCACCTACTATGAATTTCTTACCAGAACTGGCACGCAAAAATCTTGTCCTCTTCAAAGCCCTAAAACAGGCAGCTGCAACTTATGGTGCCCCCATGGATAACTGCTGGGCTTCATCAGCTATAGCCAGCACAGGCAGCAAACAGTAAGGGATGATGGAATCTGCCCTTCCAAAACATCTGAGGATCAAAAATTGCCTTTACAAGGGCCAAAGTACTGATAGAAGGGGACAGTGAAATCAGGTTTTGCATGAGCTGATACCCAAGAGGTTCATGAAATTCTCACACATACCCAGTTTAAGAGTACAAGCAATGTTTTTTTTCCTATACAAGTGTTTGTAATTCCTTTGACCTCTTCCGTCACACAGCCAGTTTATGCAGAAGTATTGAAAATGTACTTGCCCGAATCTGAGAGGCACCAGGCAAAAAAGGGGCATCGAAATGGTTGTGCCTCGTCTCTGTAAACCATGGGTCCACTTTGCAAATAAAGCACCACTCATAAGAAAGCAAAAAAAAAAAAAAATTATAAGGAGACACGAGAAAGGAACAGAGGAACGTTTCCTCACCACGTCGCAGAAATAAAGTTGGAAACAGGGGTGTGGTGGAGAGAATAAATAGAGGACCACTTTCCAAATTCCCAGAGGGAATTTCTCTTAGCGTTTCCAGTTTCCTCAGCAGAGAGGGCAAAGGAAGAAGTCCCCAAACGGGTACCGCCGAGGTTGGCAACAGGCAGCTGGGTTAGGCTGGAAGGGGGGGCGGCGGGAGGGGATGAACAGAAAGGCCCAGCGAAGATGACGTCAGCGACTCGACTGAAAGGAAAACACGGGGTGGGAGGGGGGCAGAAAGGGCAGAAGATTGCCTCTGG